GAGTTTTTACCGTCTTATAATCCGCGTCTTTGCCAACCTTATTCTTCTGGTCTTCTAATTAGTTGATTGGGACAATATCAATGGAGTCTAATCACTGGCTTCGGGTTGTTTAGCCTACTAGGGTTAAGCCTAGCGTTTCAGGAAGTAATGGGTTAATTTATACTTTTCTTAATATAGATAAATAATGTAACGTACGACACAGAATATCGTTTACGTTTTACAGTTTTTATTTATGTCATTGAATTATGAGTTTGTTTTTTGAAGTGATGTTTTGTTTTTTTGCGTGGGGTCAGTGGCGTCGCAAGGTCACCCCGTGCGGCACTTCGTGGTGTCACCCCCCACCCCTCAAGTTTCAAAGTTTATCTCTCTCTCTCTCTCTCTCTCTCTCTCTCTCTCTCTCTCTCTCTCTCTCTCTCTCTCTATATATATATATATATATATATATATATATATATATATATATATATATATATATATATATATATATATATATTTATTTATTTATTTATTTATATATATATAATGTATGTATAGGCTGTTTGTAACAGTCAAATGTGGGAGTATTTGTGTGGGGTGAATGTATGTTTTGAGTGGAGGTGTAAAAAGGCTATGTAGGAATATAAATCTAAAACATATTGTGAGCAGGCGCATGCGCAAAAAAAAGGAGGAAGTGCTGTAGATTGAAAGTAAAAGTCGTTGTTTTAGTAGTGTAGCTGCTGTATCTGTGATATCAATAAAATTGTAAAATCACCAGTGATGTGGTTTGTATTTGCCTTTAGTTTGTGCAATGAAGTTGGCCGTGCAAACAGGGTGTGACATTTTGGTGTCAGAAGTGAGCGGTGATCCGCACTGTAAAAGACTCTAACTAAAATTAAATTTTTAAATATTGTTGACATTTTGGTAACTGAGTAATTTTCTGGGACCATTAATATGGACGACTATGCCAAAATGATTGAGTTGGCTGACTCTTTAGGACATACTGGGGCAGAAAAGGCCAAATGGTTTGAAAATAAAATATCAGATGCTGGAAAGAAGATATCTGATGCAGCTGAAAGGGAAGATAGAGCTTTAGAGAGGTAACTAGCTAAAGCTAAAATATAGGCTGATATAGCTAAAATAGAGGCTGATAAGGAACTAGCAAAGGCTAAGACTGAAGACAGAGAAAAACAGAGATAATTAGAAGACAGAGAAAAACAGAGACAACATGAGCTAGAATTAGCCAAAATCAAATGTAACAAATCTCAAGAAAGCTATGTTAACAAAACGGACAAATGGAAGCCTAAATTCAGAGCATTTAAATCAAAGGAAGAGAGTGTGAAAACTTACTTAATACTCTTTGAGCAAACATGTAAGAGTTTTAATTATTCATCTGCTGGTAAGGCACAGGCTTTATTGACTAATTTGACCGGAGAGACTGTTGCCATAATAGCAAGTATGTCTGAGGCTGAAAAAGAAGACTATGACCTAGTAAAAGAAAGATTGATGAAACATTGTGGAAAGACAGAAGATTATTACAGAAAGACAAAACGAGACGCTATAATTGACAACACTGGTGACATAAACCAAATCATTTTTGAAATTCGCAAATACATGAATAAAAGGATAGAAATGGCTGAAATAGATTTAAAGAATCCTGAGGCAATTATTGAACTTAATCTGATAGATCATGTTTTAAATAATGCAACAGATAGTTTATTCACTTTTTTGAGTGAAAGTAAAGTTAGGACAGAGATACAATTAATAGAGCAAGTTAATATTTATAAGGATGCACATCAAGGGGATATTTTGGACAAAAGAGAGCATTGAGACATATTTCAGCAGCAGTCTACAGTAGAAACTCTGGCAGGGATCAAAGAAGGTATGGCAACAACAATAGAGATAGAAATAATACCAGATGGAAACCAGACAGATATAAATATAGAAGAAGCACAGAGTGTTACCACTGTGGGAAAACAGGCCATGTAAAGTCTGAGTGTTTCAGCTTAAAAAATAGAGATACATATCTCAGCAATAATAACAGAGGAGGTTATGCACTTAATAATAATTATAGAAATCAACGTAATTATTACAGACAAGGACAGTATAGTGGACAAAGTAGAAATGAATTCAACAATCAAAGTAGACAGCCACGAATGGGACCAGACAACAAGGGAGAAAATAAAAATATTAGAAATAACAATCAAGAGACATCAGCAGGGGTAGAAGGGTCAGAGACGGTGGCATCTGTTAGACAAAGCAATACAACACTGAAGATGTTCCCAGCTAAAGTAAACAACACCAGAGTAATGTGTCTGAGGTATTCAGGTTGCACATGCATTATTGTTAAGAAAAATCTTCTAAGACCAGAACAGTACATTCCTGGCATAATGCGAACTAGAAATTTAAGGATGAGTGTGAGATAGCAGTAGTTGATATAGATTCTGCTTGGCTTAAAGGTAAATACAAAGTGGCGGTCATGGAAGAACCAATAGCAGATATGATTACTGGGAATGGAAAGGAGGTGAAAGAAAGTAATGAGGAAGATATAGATATATGGGCAAGTCAAATTGGAGCAGCGGTTGAGACAAGAGCACAGAAACAAGCGAATCAGGAAGTGTGGACAATGAGGAAAGCAACACAGAATTAATAGAAGATATAAATGAATGGATAAAACTGGTAGTGTATGCGGTAGTGTATCTGGTAGTGTATCCTGTAGTGTAATCAAAGGCGGTTACCTTAGGGTGTCTACCTCTCTATTACCCAGGGGGACTCAAGACTTCCATACAATATACAACAGGGCTTCTGGGCGGTAGCGTAGATAAACCAGCACCATAAAAACTCAGATCGAAAAAGTAGTTGCGGCTTTCGTGAATGTCGCTTTCGGACAAATGTCCATTTTGGCATTTGTCGCATTCGGTGAAACGTCATTCGGGCAAGTGTCTTTTGGGAATTTGTCGTAGACCCGCTGTCATATGATTTCTATATTGGTAGCTTATAAGCCTTAAGATGATAGCAGCTCTTAACTGGTAGGTTGTAAAGCTGAGCTGATAAGAACTTGCAACATCGTGGTGGTGACAGAAAATACGTATTTATTTTATGTGACTCACGTGTGCTGTTTCTTTATGTCAATTTAAAAATATTCTTAAGCGGGGCATACATTGGACTCAAGCTGTCGCGGTTTTAGCAATTTAATAGGGAGACACATTTTTTTTTTTGTCTGAGTGGGCGCCGCCATGAGACATCTCGCCCTAGACGCAACATCTGTGGTGCCCCAACGAACCCAACAATGTTTAAGTGATGATTTAAATTGTCTTTAGTGGGTTACTATCAGACGACGTAACCGATGGGTCGCCACCAGCTTCTAATGCTTTTTTAGTGCAGTGCTCCACATGTTTGGTCACGTGGATATTTCATTTCGATGACAATCACATGTATCAAGCTCGTGAGTTTTGTGTTAGCACGAGCTCAGCCTTTCGTAACTTTCCTATGTGATTCACATTTTTGTTCTCAGCAAGATTATTGTAAGGGTGAGATTTGTCTGGAAACGTTTGTTCTCCTTGGGCTATTCTGGAAATATTGACTGACAGCTAGTTGTACATCATACAAATGTTACCAAATTGTATTTCAGTTTTTCTTATCCGAATTATTCAATTTACAAAAAACATTAAGTGGAAAAAAAAAAACATTTATTAAAATTATTTATTATAAAATTAACACCTATGATTAATAAGATTATAACTTTTAATGTAAAAGAAAGATTTATTTGAGATAGTTACCACATTTAAGAAAAAATGTTATTCATTTAATTTTCTACATTTGTAAAATATTAAATGACATCAACCAAATGAAATAAAACATTTATGATTAAATTATTAATTGTATTAAAATCTTGTTTCTTTAAGTTAGCAAATTTGTAACATTTAGTTTTTTTAAATTAATTTTCAAACTATGAAATAAGCTGACAGGACTCATCAATTAATTAAAAATACACAATAATGTAAGCTAGGCTACATGTTAAAACTTAAGATACATGTGGACATTTTGTTTTCGCCAAATTAAAAAAAAGTTTCTTTTGACCTTAACTGTGAGTTAGAATAAAACATTTATTGCAAATAATATAATTATTTAATTTACTAGCCATATTTAGTTACACTACCTGCTGTAATTTATAGACACTATCTGAGAGAAAGGAAGTCTATTTTCTGTCGTCGTTTCAAGAAGTCGGTAACCTATCGCTCTGGTACAACGTTTATATCTCTGATTGATCAAATAACTATGTTTCCACTCGTGCTATAAATAAACCCTTATATAATCATTACATTAAAAAATGTTTTTCTAACAATATTACGTTACAACGACTACAATAAAAATCAAGCATTAAAGTTAATGTTTAAACAACACATACTAAACATTTGAAGAAAAAACTTTTTCTTAATCAAAATATTTTAAAATGGATTTAGTACAGTGTGTAAATTCAAAAAAGTAATCAATGAGCACGAAATATTTTGGAGTAAAAATTGCACTGTTTATTTGTGGTCTGATTTTTGGGCCCGCGAAATGGCATAGGCACCACCGCATTGCGGGGTCTGGAGGCATGGTAGTTCCACTCCTTCTAATAACACAAGAGACTGCACTACAATAGTTGTTACATTTGTTATAGCAATAGTTAAATACATGTTGCCTGATTTAACTTGTTGTACTAATAACGTTTCCTCAACTTATTGAATAGATCAAAGATAATGATACCGCACTTGAGTATGTCTTTAGCTATTTGATATCTTCTTCATGATTCAACAATTAGTTTATTTAAGCATGTTATATAAAACTAATGACCGGCGGTTTAATTAATTATTGACTGTATATATATATATATATATATATATATATATATATATATATCGTATTGAAAATTATTGCCTAATTAGTTTACAGTACGATAAGTTGAACGTGTGTACTGCATGCCGCATTAGAGTTTTCTTCCCCCATTATTATAGTTACAGCACTTCAATGTTGTAAACGTGTTATAGAAATCTAAATTTCATCTCACTGAATGAGGGATTGCTCATTGGTTGCCAATAGAGGCTTGTGTAATTTGTTGCTCCCCATAAGCCATTTAGGTAAGAATAACGACACGTGTTGAACCACCACCCCCCGTGGAATTTGGATGCACATGAACCGTTCCACTTGTCGTTGTCCCTATCAAAAGTTGAAAACTTCATACCGTTTTGGTAGGCTAGTTCATCCGATACATTTCCTGTGTAGCCACCAACATGTAGCGTGTAGCCATCTGTCTCGCTAGAAATGTAGAAGCTGGAATACTTTGCGAAATAACTTGTTCCATTGAAGATCATATCCACTCTAAGTTCTGTTTGACGGGTTGTCGTTAAGAGATAAATGTTCTCATTACCCAGGTAAAAATTACCTGAACTAAAATCACCAAACCCATTTTTGTATTCCGCCCAGTTCCTGTAGAAATCTACAGTCCCAGAAACACGTCTTTGGAAAATGGTCCATCCTCCACCGTCTGTCACTGTGTCACACATGACCTGAAGTCCAGGGGTTAGGGTCAGCAATGGCCGAGAGTTACTACTGTCTACTCCTAAGCATGGATCGGTCTCACCTAATACACGAATAAGTATGACACCAGTTATAGTGTAAAGGTAACTGCAATGTATGGAAAAAGTGAAGGTGTTAGGGCTTGTAAACAAAAACAGGTGTATGAGTAATACGTAAAGATATTGTGGATATTTGTAACATATTATTTTATTACATAAAAACACGTGATATACAACACGATTTTTTTACATCACCTGCACAGAAAAAGAAGTCTGCATATGAGATGGAACCATCAGACAGGACCGTGATGTTTCTGGTTGTGTTACAGAACTTCCCACTTGAGAAAAGTTTTCCTTGAACTTTTTGTTGTGTAGCTTTTAGTGGTACTAGCCAAGAACCTGTTACATGAAACCAAAGTCAATTATAGAAAAAACATATAATATAAATATAATGTTGTCATTTACAGCTTTTTTGTTAAGAAATAGAGGTAAGTGTTCCACATAATCTGTCATCCAAATGGTCTAAAACACATTATAATCCTTCAAATATTTGATACTTGGCCGAAATAGTAGATAGGTCAATTTACAAATTATTTCTGTTAAGATAAAACTCAATTTTGTTTTGACTGAAAAAGATTATGGACGATATGTAGAATGAATAACACTATAGTGTTTGAAAAAGATACATATCAAGGGTTGTGTGTACCATGGGGTCTGCTTCAGTTTCGTAGACAATCGTCTGTGTTATATTTCAAAGAAGAACATTTTGTTTTTGGGGTATAGGTGGAACGTGGAACAGTAATGCGGTCAACTACAAACCCCAAAGTCATGAGTTCAAGAAAAGTATATTCCTGAGTACATGCTGCTATTGAGTTGCTCGGTTTAGTTTTGTTTATGTATTTCACCTAGATAAAATTTAAAGTAATTTCATCGTCCATATACATTTCTCAGGGGAGGCGCAACCGTTATGTGCGACTTTGCGTCCAGGGCTTTTCCGAGAGCGCTATGTCACATATGTTCGTTTTAAAGAGTGCTATTGCCTATTGATACACATGCTTATTATAGTCAATAGCTAAATCCCTGATATGGTGGAATTTGGCGCTCCGGCCTTCCCCGAGAGCACTGTGGCGATTACGTTCGGTTTCATTAGCACCCTACAATATGGACACGGTGGCACCAGGGGGTGACCCTACAGCCCTGATCCATGAAATATAACATCTGCTTTGTTTACATTTAAACTCAGTTTTAAAAAAATAAGGTCACGCGTCTAAAAATACATGAAAGGTAACGCATTGATATAATCCTCTTAAAGTATTGCATTAACCCGCAGCAACGCGCAGGATGGGATCGCCAGTCTCTCTTTCTCTCTCTCACTGTCTCATTTAATTAAGAACACATTTTTGTTGTAATTAAATCTATTTCTTTGCATCATTTCCCCATTACAAGACAAATTAACAAACTGCTAACATTGAGGGTCTAAAATTATCTAAAATCGTGAAAAGTAAAAGTTTAAATATGGCATGCTAGCCAAGAGTATATGAGATACAGTATATTGACATGTGCAGTGATTTCCTATGTTTGTCTATTAAAAAGGTGATATATTAATTTTAAATAAATTCCAATAAATAACGACAACATTTCTAAAATAGATTGATTTTTCCAACACGGAAGGTTCTCATCATGATTATAAAACTTGTAGTTCTAAGAAAATGGTTTCAAAAGATCTTAAGCCACAGTTTAAAAAATGTGAACTTACCTAGGCTACAATGTCTTGTAGTTGTGTTGTAGATGTAGCTGTAGCACGTTTTGTTGGAACTTGAACAACGTGAGGCGCAGGACAAAAGACTGACTTGGTCAAACTCTACATCGATGGGCAGTGTGGTCACGTACGTGTTATCAACAGCTTTATAATGGGTTTCTTTTATTGGGTTCGTTGTCTTGGCTGTAAGTGGAGAAATATATATTCAATTTTCGAAATTTGTATCGTTGAGTTGTAAAGACGTGGTCATGTTGTTTAGCACTCTGTCGCTAATGTCCCCGGGCGCCGACCTTAGGGGGCGCCAAAATGGGTTGGAAAAATAAATTGAAAGGTTGAGGGGATGCAAATTGAAAGTTTAAGGGGGGTGGTTGCAAATCAAAATCTTGAGGGGGATGCAAATCGAAAGTTTGAGGGGGGGGGGTGTGCAAATCGAAATATTGAGGGGGGGGGTGCAAATCGAAAAGTTTGTCCCCGGGCGTCGGGTAGGGTCGCTACGCCTCTGCACAGCATCACTATTTTACACAAAACACTCACTATCATTTCATCCTCAATATTATTCCATATAAGCCTCAATATTTATTTACACAAAGATTCACTCGTACTGCGATACTCTAAACCTCATACTATAAACTACATATTTTGTAACCTACTTAGGTCTACCTTTTTTAATAGTTTAATTTTATTAATGTTTAAATGGCCTTGAACTATCTTTGGTTAGACTAAGAAATTTTCCACCACACTCATGTGACAGTATTCACAACCGTGTTCGTGTGACTCGTGTTTTGGCTCCATCCCCTAATGGTCCTTCACCTTGGTGTCAACATCCCATAATTTTAGGGTAATATAAAAAAGATTAATTTTCCAGACACGAGGCGCACAAGACACTCAGAAAGAAGCCAAGGGTCATGGCATCCATGTTGTGATGGGCCGTAATTTACTTATATTTCACTCAGTAGGCCTATTTGATTTTTCACAGTGTAGGTTGCGTTAGTTAGATATTTTATCCAGTGTCAATTGTAGAAAGAAGTGTTTGTGATTTCCATGAAATTGTAAGTTGAGTTTTACATTATTTTATAGTTTTCGCATTGTATTTTACTATTTAGACATGTTTTCTTTTTAGAAGGTTTTTAGATTGATTAAAAGTTCTAGTAGATTCGGAAGGTCTTTGTATTTATATTTAACCCTAGACATTAGATTTCGAGTCTACGAAGCGTTTTTTGTTTCAAGTAATCTTTTATAGATTCGTATAGTTCATCAGTCTAGAACCATCCCAAAAAAATCCAGGTGTTGCGTAATACTTATCAGTTGTAGAGTTACGTAACAATTCCATCCTCAATATTATTCCATATAAACCTCAATATTTATTTACACAAAGATTCATTCGTACTGCGATACTCTCAACTATAAACTACATATTTTGTAACATTACTCCCACCACCCTCCCAGCGACTACTTCCTTCTCGTTCGCAAAAACCTGATCAAAACTGAGTAATTATAATAATTTTTACTAACCTTGTGTGACGATACACTGAATTATTATAATAAATTTAACTAACCTTGTGTGATCAAACACTGGATAATTATAACAATTAAGGCCCACATGTTTGTGCAACAACTGTACGATATACACAATATAGGTTACAGCTGTGTCGTATAGCTCTTTGCTGTGTTTTAAAAAATACCTATAAACAAAATATAATGTAGACAATATAACATACTAATCGTAAACCACAAGATTTATAAGTAAAAGAAAAGTGTTTTACCTAAACTACTTTACTAGTCTGATGATATAGTGTCATTACCTACGGAATCTTTAACACCTGCAAATTTACTGTCGTGTCTACCTTCATCGTTTTTTATCACCACAGTACAAAGTGAAATCAAAAGACAAATTAAAGACAGGGGCAACTTGAAATCAAAAGACAAATTAAAGACAGGGGCAACTTGAAATCAAAAGACAAATTAAAGACAGGGGCAACTTGAAATCAAAAGACAAATTAAAGACAGGGGCAACTTGAAATCAAAAGACAAATTAAAGACAGGGGCAACTTGAAATCAAAAGACAAATTAAAGACAGGGGCAACTTGAAATCAAAAGACAAATTAAAGACAGGGGCAACTTGAAATCAAAAGACAAATTAAAGACAGGGGCAACTTGAAATCAAAAGACAAATTAAAGACAGGGGCAACTTGAAATCAAAAGACAAATTAAAGACAGGGGCAACTTGAAATCAAAAGACAAATTAAAGACAGGGGCTACTTGAAATCAAAAGACAAATTAAAGACAGGGGCAACTTGAAATCAAAAGACAAATTAAAGACAGGGGCAACTTGAAATCAAAAGACAAATTAAAGACAGGGGCAACTTGAAACCAAAAGACAAATTAAAGACAGGGGCAACTTGAAATCAAAAGACAAATTAAAGACAGGGGCAACTTGAAATCAAAAGACAAATTAAAGACAGGGGCAACTTGAAATCAAAAGACAAATTAAAGACAGGGGCAACTTGAAATCAAAAGACAAATTAAAGACAGGGGCAACTTGAAATCAAAAGACAAATTAAAGACAGGGGCAACTTGAAATCAAAAGACAACTAAAGACAGGGGCAACTTGAAATCAAAAGACAAACTAAAGACAGGGGCAACTTGAAATCAAAAGACAACTTAAAGACAGGGGCAACTTGAAATCAAAAGACAAACTAAAGACAGGGGCAACTTGAAATCAAAAGACAAATTAAAGACAGGGGCAACTTAAAATCAAAAGACAAATTAAAGACAGGGGCAACTTGAAATCAAAAGACATAGTGAAGACCAGGGACAAAGTGAAATAAAAAGACAAAGTGCAACCACAGGAGAAATTGAAGCCACGGACAAGGTGAAACCAATTGACAATGTAAAGCCACGGGACAAAGTGAACCCACAGGACAAAGTGAACCCACAGGACAAAGTAAATCCACGGGATGAAGTGAAATTAAAAGACAAAGTGAACCCACAGGACAAAGTAGACACGGGACAAGGTGACATCAAAAGACCAAACTGAAGCCACGGTATGATATCAAGCCAAGGGACAAAAAAAGTCGAAGTAAATAGGTTTCTAGATTGTCAATAGTGTATCCAGTGACATACTATTTATCCTGTACAAGTTTGGAATTCTTTATTGATAAATCGAAAAAAACGTCCAGATATGCTAAGCACTACGTTAATCGTATTAACTGCTTGTAATTCATGGGTTAGGCCAAATTAAAAGCACAAGAAGTACAACTGATAAACAAACAAGAATAAATATCTAAGGCAAACTAACCGTTTTTATTTACAAGGTGTTGATAATGGGTGATGTTAACATTCCAAACTTTTATTTTTGTTTTGCAAAAAAAAACATTCCAAACTTTTATTTTTGTTTTGCAAAAAAAAACATTCCAAACTTTTATTTTTGTTTTGCTGTGGTTTTGCAATATGTTACAACAAAAGCTTAGGTAAAATCACATCTACATAACACGTTCCCCCGACAATTTTGACAATGTTACTCTTTAAAACAATAAAACATGAAAGAAAGATAAGAAAAAGGAGTTTAACTATTTTTTTGACAAGTTAAAATTATAGAAATTAAAAATGTATATTTCAAACATTTGATTACATTAGAACTTCTTCATAGTTTGCATCACTTTTCCTACCTGCATATATGTTGTCAGAATAAATGAATATCAGTAATATTGTCTTGTCATAGCTTGTCTTAGTGAAATTTTATGTTTCTATATGCAGGGTCAGTCATTGCTCGTCCATTAAAATTAAACAACAACTATTTAAAACTTATATGAGCAAATGCTTCTTGTCAAATAGAGCATGCAGGAAAACACAGTAAATAAATGTCACGTTAACCATGTGACATGTGTAGACGCGAGATTATTATTTCCTGACCGTTGGTTGAGTTGGACAGGTAGGAGAAAAAACTGTCATAAATAGAACACCTATACTTTTTACCGAATCCACGTGTAAGAAACGTTAGAAGCGAACTCGGACTATCAGACTACAAAAAAATCGACTACAGCATCAGACCACAACAATCGACTACAGCATCAGACCACAACAATTCTGTTTGATCTAAATACATTGTTATGCTTTGCTGATTGCGCCATTTGCATGGTTGAATGATTTATTGATTTTGTTATTATCAGTAGTATGCAGTTAACAGGTAAGACCACACGACGAAACGACGACATGCTACACCAACAAACATATATCGGACTCTGTCACCAGAATTTACTAAACCAGAACTTCATTGAAAACAGTTGACGTTAATGCTCTTACGAGATTTAACTTCTTGAACTATAGGCCTATAGTCAATATGAATTTGCTTTTGTAAAAGATAAGAAATTATTTGTATTTTCTAATTTTCAGTGCATTTAATAAAAGCTTGTACATATATTGGTTTTATATTTGTGTTTTTACCATCTAATGTAACTAGAGAGATGTAAGTACGGCTACTCTTGTGAAGTTCACGTCATGGTTCAAAACGTCTGAAGCGCGCCTTAAGGCTGCCCTTTATGTGACATTACAATACGGAGCGGTAAGTGTAATAGACATGAGCGAGAGGGGGGTGAGGGCAAGAGTGTTGGGAGGTGATTAAAAAACGTTGTAAAGCCAGGGGTAAATGGCGGGGGGGGGTGATAAATGACATGGATCATTTGTGATGCATGGCTAAATAGGTAACATAAAAAGATAAATGCACCTAATTATTTTGAACGAAAAAATCTAACAAAAGATTACAATCTAAACGTAACTTTTGCCAGAGTCTATAACGTGGTGTAAAATCTAACGTAACTTTCTAAAGCATTAGATTCAATTATAGAAGTCATACGTCATTAGTTGCAAAGAGATCTGAAAAGTTTACATATTAAATTACTTTTACAGGGTTCATTTATTATAGTTTTGCCTGTCTTGTTGGTGTGCACTCATGCGTGGATGTCTTGGTCTTCTACACAATTCAATGTTTACTACAACAATATAAAATACACATTTTTATTCATTTAGAAATGCACCTCTGATGCGACATTTCTCAAAGGTATAAACGCTTAATGTAATGAGTGAAGTATTTCACCTGCACAATTTTTACTGCACAAGTTGTTATCTAGCACCATTGTGTTGAACTTTACTAGACGACTAGTTACATTAAAAACAAACATCAGACGTCATTCAATGTAAATGGTGAACTCTTTTAAATCTAGGCATCCAGAAATAAAAGCAACAACAACAAAAAATAAATAAATAAAAAAATAAATAAATAAAAATAAATTAGTTATTAAATAAAACTTTCAAATAAATTTTATGATAAAAACAAAATTTGAGAAATAGTTATCGTTGCTTATAATTAGGTTAAAACCTCTACATTATGTCTTTAAAAACAACGTTTATTTGCAAAACAAAATGCACCAATCACTTTAAAACTGATCATCCATTTTTATGTCGTTTCATCAATATCAAACTGAATTCCATGTTTTGTTGTGTTATTCTTTAAGTAAGACAACAGTAACAAATGTCACCTCGGCTGTATCTAGCCTGGATCAAGTCACGTTTGAATACTTGAATCCACACAAACAAAACCGTCAGGCTAATATACCACGCCACGTGTGTCACTAGTTTGATCAAGATAACTAAAATGACGACTACAATATTAAAATGTGCAATGGTTTGAACGCCCGAAGCTTTTCTTTTCCATTTAATGTTTAATGGCACGTTGATTGTTTTTGTACCGATTTTTGTATTGTTGATTTAACTAAAGAGATGTCAGTTTCAATGGAACATTAACCTAACCAGGCATCTCCTTACCCGTGGGTTACTGGCCACTGGCCTCGACTTTTGTTGTCATTCTGTATTGACTGAGTGATGGTTAGATATCACTGGAGACTGTTCTATGTTATTGATGTAAATTTTGATACGATAAATACTGCAAGGTTTTAATACAGCACACTCTGGGGCGTGCTGTGCGGTAATGTAGGTAAACCCATGCCCATATAAATATGATCCAAGAAATATAGCGCAGGCGTTGTTTATCTTAATATATAAAAGCCTATGTGCGCACTACTCTCTCTCTGTACGAAATATCTTTGGCAACGTCGTCAGCATGTTCAACGATAAATGAAGAACTTACAGATACGGACTTTTGTTGAACATAATATGGTGGACGTTATAAATGTATAAACTAAATTGTATTCAAATAATGAAAATAAAAATGAAGGCATATTCGAATGTAAATCAGATTACTAACTAAAGCGTTTATTGTCGTGACAAGAACGTAAGAAACAATGACGTCACATGAAGGAAAGAACAAAAAATTAATGGCGTCATCTTCAAATTTTAATTATAAAGAAATGAACTATTTCATTTAAATTTCATTAACATGTACTTATCAAGACGTACGAGAAATAATGAGTTTCTATACTAAACTATTTCAGGACTTACTTTTTGTATCTAAATCTTTTTTGCTTAGCTATGGAATTGACTAATTTCAATTGAAATAAGAAGTCCTATTCGGTAACTTAAGTTTCCTAAATACCCCATGTATTCTTCATCTAAGCTAACGTGCCTAAATAGCTGAGGTGATAGTGTAG